CTATTTAGAGAAGAGGGTGATTTTTCTACTGCTTCTGCATTTAAAAGCTTAATTTGGCCCGTTCCTCAACTTGGAAAGAATGAATGAGACATCTTGATGAATTACCACAGCCTTTATGCTGTGGTCCCAGCAAGTAAGACCCCCTAATCATCATTACAATGGAAATTATTTACTCCATCCAATCAGCAACGGATAAATGTTCTGCTATTGTATATTTGGTTAATACATTCTGTTTAGTGCATATTTCAATAGCCTCTCTGCCTGTTTTCCTTCCCCTCCAAAGTGAAATGATACACCTTTACCCTGGCTGCTTAGAAGGTACCTCAACAGCTCTGCTGTCTCCAGTCTTTGCAGGCAAGACCTTAACTGCATCTAATTTTCTCCAGGAGCACTGATATGACACTACATTGATGACATCCTTTTCAAAGAGATTTCTTTAGAACACTCTTTCAGGTCATACAAATATTCTAAGAAGGAGCTCACAAAAAGGGGATGGACTGTTTACCACACATTGGACAAAGCCTTGCCACCATGTTTAAATTCCTGAAAATTATTGGTAAACTGAGGGCTGTTCCATCCCTGTCAACATTAAAGCAAGCCCAACATATTTAGGCCTTCTGGGTTCTGGAGGCAACATTTTCCTCATTTACAATTTTTACTTTGGCCCATTTATGCCATTACTTGCAAAATAGGCCCACCTTGAGTGGGGCCCCCTCCCAGTGAAAGACTCTAGAACTTTTTCAACCATATTAGTGCCACTCCCACCCTGAGATTTCTTCACTGTAGAGGCTTTAGCAACCTCTTCCAATGCCTCTTGGAGTCTTTGTACCATCCATGATGGCCATAAGTTGCTCAGGATCTACTGATGTAAGGAACTGCTTTCATAGGTCTTATGAGATATATATGGTTAGAGTGGCAACTGCTGGCTACATACTGGAGTCTTATGGAAATAGAGGCTCTCATAACCTTCCATTTCCAGCTAATTATGCTTTGGGTCTTGGAAGCAGCACCCTACAAACTCATTGTAGCTACCAAAGTCTCTTTGTTACAGGATAGAACCAAACCTGGGCCCCCTGGCATATCACACTTACAGGTGGGGATGGCCTCCCCTGTCCTCAGTCCTTTGTCAGATGCCATGGTGCTGGATGAAGCCACCCCTTTACCAGACTCTGTCTACTTAGGAACCCCTGTAGAATCAACTGAATGAAGAATAATGGGAGTTAGTCCACTTTATGGATACACTGTTATGATCACACATAATGGAGCTCAGTGGATTGTTGCCTTTTTTAAAAAATCCCTTAGCTAGGATGTCTCTCATAAAGAACTGGACCCAAGCATCAGTACAGTTGGCCAAACTTCAGGTTGTTGTCTTAACAGTGGATGCCTTGGTCACTAATTGACCCCCTCTGTAAATATTTAGACCCTTAGGTTATTGCCAATTATATGGTTGTCTGGTTTGACCAATGGCAGCAACATAAATTCCTTATCCTATGTCCCTTTTGGGGTATGGAACTCTGGGAATCTCTTGCCTCAGATACCCAAATATAAGTCAATACCACACATGCTTTTACATATAATAAAACTATAATACAAGGCCTCATTAAGACACTCTTTATTGCCGTCAGAGTTCCAGACGTTATTTATTTCTTGTTGCTGTCAGAGTTCCAGATGTTATTTATTGCAACCAAGGCATTCATTTCACTTCTCAGAATATACAGTGCTGTGCTCTAGAATGAGTCAGTTGATGGAACTTCCATCTTATAGGTATCGGGCTACAGACCTCACAGAGCACCATAAAGGCTTATTTAAATCTGTTTAAATTCAATTACAAAAACATAGTACATTTTGTTTCTCAAACATCAGGAGTAAATTGCAATAAGGAAGCTGTCTCTCTCTCTTTTTTTTTTTTGGACTGCTGACAGCATTTAAGTCTCACCCCAGTTCTCCTTAAGCCCTGCATTTGAAATTCCTGGGGGCTCTCTCCTTTGTTGAAAGGAGTTTCAAACCAAGCCCCAGCTGCACATTGGAACCCTCACCCCAGCACCCCTAAACACCATAAAAGCTGTAGCTCTATCAAGACATTTTCAGATCAGCTTTGGAAGCCTGCCTTGCTCTCCCCCCCAAAAATCTCATTATGCACATAATAAACCTTTGAATACCCTGTTGATGTGTGTATGGCATTATCACTCTTGATATCTGAACCAAATTTTGCATAGGGTCCATTCTTTATCTTGAGAGTGGCCACAACAGGTGGCTTATGTTTGTAAAAAGAATCCTTAGGTGGATATATGAAAGGGAGTGGAGTTGTAGGGGAATGGCTCCTCTATAACAGCCTGGCATCCTTGGGTGTATCCATATAGGCTTGAACTGCAGCTAATCTGAGTTTTGGTTAGATGCCTTGTGATACTCCCAGAACATGAAAAGATGGGAAGCTGTAAGGAGCTGCTATAAGGCCTTCTCCCAGTCACTTCCCTCTCTCCTGAGAGGCTGTCTTACATGAATTTCTCATCACCTACCAGATTCCGATGAGGTATGGAGCTTTCTGTCCTGTGCCCTTTAGAATAGAGCTGCAGAATATAAAACCACTCAGCTGCAGTGTAGATTTGATCCTCAGCCAGGGAGTATCCCACAACTTGCATTATAGTCATCCAGCCCCTTTTGTTTCTTTTTTGTCTTTTAGGGTATGTGAGACATGGACCCAGGGAGTTGGCACCTTTGGTTCATTCTTCTTTGTACTGTTTATGTAAGTAATAAACTGTCTCAATCTAAAAGTAGTTCCTTGTACCAGTCAATCTTTACCAGTCAAATCAGTCAGGCCTTGGCCTTGTCTATATGAGCTTGTTACCATATAATCCTAATTGCTATTTATGTCTTTTACCTGTAAATTAAAATAGGATACTTATATTTATTTAAAGGTTCTTACATTAAATAAATACTGAAGGATTACCATGTTCTTAAATCATTTGTATTAGGAAAGCCTTAAACCTTCAGTGAATTATCAAATGCAGCTGTGGGGCCAATTTATCACCTAAGGGAGTATCACACAGTACTTTATGAAGCTAAGTAATTAGGAATATATTGGTATTAGAAAATCTTGAAAAATAAAGGCATGGTTTATGGATTAAATATTCTTCACAATAAAGGGAAACTTAAAAGAGAAACTTGATCAGAGACCACAGTCTTATGGTATCTAATTTTTCATATTTTCTGGTAAACAAATACCTGACAAAGTAACAGCAATGTGTTTTTCACAAGTAGGAGGTATGACAACCATTTATCTAATAAACATGTTAGGAACATCTGTGGGATGCCATATTCCAAGCTCTGTGCCAGACTCTGAGCAGACACAGAGACAACCCAGTCTGGGTCTCAGAGCCAGTGGACCTCAGAATTTACAAAGGCAGAGACATCCAGGCTAATAAGTATACTTTTGATAAGAACTATGACAAAACATGCTGGGCATGGTAGCTCACACCTGTAATCCCAGCACTTTGGGAAGCCAAGGCAAGCAGATTTCTAGAGCCCCAGAGTTTGAGACCAGCCTGGGCGACATAGTGATACTCCCTCTCTACAAAAACTAAAAAAAAAAAAAAAAGCCAGGTGTGGTGGCACACACCTGTAGTCCCAGTTACTCGTGAGGCTGAGGGAGGAGGATTGCTTGAGCCCAGGGATTTGAGGCTGCAGTGAGCTATGATCATGCCACCGCACCCCTGTCAGGGTGATAGAGCAAGATCCCATCTCTGTGAAGAAAGAACTTTTTCAAAAACTATCAAGAAGGGCTTCTTAGAAGCAGTGACTTACAAAAGTAGGGACTATAATTACCACAGATTTACAAATGAGAAAATCGAAAATTAGAGAGGTAAACTAATCTGACAGAGGCCATACAGACTCTGGTCAAGAGAGTTTTGAGCCATAGCCTTTTGGATTCCAAATCACTAATTGTTTTAATTTACATCCACCAGCTACAGCTTCCCTGGCTCTGCTTGCCTCCAAACTTAAAAAAAATCTGCTACAATCAGAGTAGACTCAAATTAGAAAAGAACTTCCAGGAAAAACATGATGAAAGTTTTTCTGGTATATCAGGGTGCCTTCTCACAGGGGAATCTTGGAACTGAAAGGTCTGCCCAGCTATGACTGGTAAAGGGCTCTAAGGTAAACTTCACCTCCCCGTTTCCCGGTAACAGTTGGTTCTAGGGAGCTACTTGGTCTTGGAATTGGAACACACTTAAAGAACAGAAGTAGAAGGGGCAGCTTCAGCTTCAGTACTTCACACTTAAGAAGGAATTCATCTTCCCTAGGAGGGATCTTTAATGCTGTTCACTTTCTGCCTGTTCTTTCTTGACTCACAAAAACATGAGGACAGACTCCATGTTTGTTGATGTAATAAGCACATCTTCACAAACTTTGATCTAGAAGGTTTTGGCCTTTACAGAATTTTAAGCACAGTCTAGAACTGAAGGAGTATCTGCAGTCTGTAAAATGCAAAATGGTTCACTGAAGTCAGGCATGTTAACTGCTTAATTTCCTGTTTTACCTACCTTCAAATACAACTTTAAACTTATGTGCAACTAACAAATCTACAGCTATTGTTCCCCTAAAAACTATTTTAAAAACTGGCTTATATAAGTTTTTATACAATTCCATAAACATGCTCCTTAGAGACCCCACCTCTTTGATTTTTCACATTTGTATGAACTGGTATGTAGGCATTGGCAAAACCCCTGCTCAACAGCATATAAGATTCCATTATTATTTTCCAGTATTAATACATAAGAATTTAGCTTTTCCTATTTCAATGGGCCAAATTAAAAGAAAAAACTGCTAACATTGGTCTACAGCAAGGGAACTGCTAGCCACTCCAGGGTATTTCTCCCTTTTTTTTTGTGGGCATTTGACCTCTTGGGCCAGAAGCATATGCCACAGCCAATGTTTTTTAAACAATCTAAAATCTTTCCTTTTTTCTTTACTTCATATATTAGCCTTAATAAGAACTCCAGTAATTATTTTTATAAACTTTATTATGGAAAATGTCAAACATACAAAAATAGAGATGAACATATATAATGAACCATCATGTTAGCTATCACCCAGCTTCAACAATTATCAAGGCCAATTTCATTTCATCAGTATTACCAATGCACTTAACAGACAGACTTAGTATTTTGAAGCAAATTCCAGGAATCATATCATTTCAACCACAAATGTTTGAGAATGTAGATGAGGACCTTTCTTTCTAACATAATGATAAAATCATTATCCTAATACTAAATATCTCACCAATGTTCAGATAACTCTGACCATCTCATAAATGTATTCATTTTACAGTTCGGTCAAATCACAATTCAAATAAGATCCATACAGTTGGTTAATACGTCTCTTAAATTTCTTTTAATATATAGGTTCATCCTTCATCTCTTTCTTTCACCCTTGTAAATTATTTAAAGAAGAAACTGGGTCATGTGTCCTGTAGTTTCTTATAGTCTGGTTTCTGCTGATCACATCTCCATGGTATAAACTAATGTTTCTCTGCCCTCTGTATTTTCTAAAGACTAGGAATTATTTCTAGGGGCATGGTCAAATTTAGGTTCAATGCTTGGGCAAATATTTTAGGAGATGGGGTCTCATTATATTGCCCAGGCTAGACTAAAACTCCTGGGCTCAAGCAATCCTGCCTCAGCCTCCTGAGTGGCTGGGACTACAGATGCACAACACTGTGCCTGGCTTTGCTAATATATTTTATAGATGGTGTCGTATACTGCCATCTGGAGGCACATGTCTGGGATGACACAGACAAATTTTTGCTTTCTACTATCTCACAGCTGCCTTGATGCAGTTGTGTGACACTTGATAAGCAACAGTCACCTATATGCTAGGCAGATTAAAAAGAGATTGTTTAACCATTCAGTATAATTACAAAATATGAATTACTTAAACAAATCTTCAGTGATGTCTACCATATTCTAAGCAATGTCTTATGTGCTAGATATATAAAAAAGACAAAGGAAACAAGTTCCTTGCATTCAAGGGCATATAATCTGGTGGCAAATACAGACACATAATCATAAAAGCACAAAAAAGGCCACAGGTGCCAAGTTAGAATTCTGTACAGATACAGTGGTAGTGCAACAACCTGGAGAATAGTTACTGTAATAAACAGGGAAGAAGTGTCCAAAAGCATAGGATGAGCTGTGTCCTTGGAGTGCGAAATAGCTCATCTGTACTTCACAATTCCATTCATCATTGGGTTCACATACTTGATTCTTTCAAAGTAAATCTGAACAACATCTATGCCATTCACCTAAAAAAAAACAATCTTATTAATAGGGTTTTATTGGTTCATCAATTCCTCTAGTCAACAAATATTTATTGAACACCTACTATGGCTCATCAACCACTTTGAATTGGAAAAGCCTTCAGTGAATAAACCAGTGTAGTTCCACTGTGAGGCCAGACAAGAGCCTGAGGGAATAACAGATTGTCCCAGGTACATTATGAAGCTGAGAAATGAGGAATACACTTGGAGTAGACATTTCTAATCTGTGGATCAATGACAAGTGTCTCCAAATTCCAGCTACTGTTCTAGGCTCTAAGGATATGGGGAGGATTCTGTCTGGGTCCTAGTCCTCAAAAAGTTATTCTAGTAGTCATTCAGAAAGATGATTGCAATACGAGAATAATGCTGAGAATATCAGTTTTGCCTGGTACTTCCACAAAAGGAACTCTGAAAAAGAAAACTCTGGCCAGCTGATAGTATGGTAAGCTCTAACCTCCCTTTTCCCAGTCAACAACTATTGAGGGAAGAAATGTTTTTTCTTATAATTGAACTTCACTTAAAGGCAAGTGACACAAGGAGCAGCTCCAGCATCAGAGCCCTTTAAACCATTTATCCTACAAGGGCCTTCTAATGTTGCTGTTACTTTACAAGTTCTTCCACATACACACTTTAATTTTTATTGATTTTTTCTAAATACAAAAATGTTGAAATCTTTACAATAATTCTCTCAAATGAAACTATATAAAGGGCTTAAAAATATTTATAGCCATCCTTTACCCCTTTCAGGGTTACTTCTTTAAAAGGTGACCTGATCAACAGAACATAGGTTTCCTAGAAATATGTTAACCATCCACAGTAAATTCTATATCAAGCATATAGAAATTAACTTTACTCCAACATGTCTTCTTCAAATTTTTTTTAGGATAAGAAAAAGTAGGCATTTGTCCAGTGGGGGATAGGAGTGGGGAATCAGTCTTCTAAAAACATGCTGAAAACAAATTTCTACATAATATCTGAGTCTTAATTACTTTTGTTCAGTGTACTGTTTTTATTTGAGAGGGTATTAAGCTGAAATTTCAGCTGTACATTTTTACTTCATTCTTCACATAAATAATATATAAGTACTATGTAATGAGTCTGTAAGGAGAAAATCCCACTGCGCATCAAACATTTAGAGGATACAGATTATAGACAGCATTGGATTACCTCTGTGTCAACTATTTTACTCTGAAATTTTTGGATTGCTTTTTTAAAATGAAAGGCTATTTGCCCCCCCCCCCCCCTTTTTTCTAGGCTGAACTAACAAAAACTACCTGTGTGACTTGAAAGTTTATTTTAAAGTATGGTAACTGTAAAATGTTTTGTTGTTAATTTAGAAATGAAAGCCTTGGGAGTTTTACAAATCACATAAACTGAAGATACCTGGACCTTGAAGGAATTCCTATTAAGTAGTAGTACTTAATCCAAATGACAGAATAATACACAACAAATATTTACAGGCTAACAACTCATAGAGTTGGTTATTATCAACACTGTACTTTTCATATTTTTCAAATACTTTTGGTTCAAAGTCAAAACTTAAAACTTCTTGGATTACAGGTGCATGTCACCACGCCTGGCTAATTTTTTGTATTTTTAGTAGAGATGGGGTTTCACCATGTTAGCCAGGATGGTCTCCATCTCCTGACCTCGTGGTCCGCCTGCATTGGCCTCAAAGTGCTGGGATTACAGATGTGAGCCACCCTGCTTGTCCCCCCACCCCATACTCTCTTCAAAAACTAGTCTTTTCCTCAAATGTCATGGGAGATGAGATCCAGAAGATGAACCTAGAATTTACATAGCAAAACCCCAAATTTCTTAATAGGAAGTACCTAACACTGAACAAAAAAGTTAAGGGACCCCAAATACCTATCAGTAATGTTTAAGAGATATGATATAGTCTAGGTTGTTCTAGAAATTAGGAATGATCTTTTCATTTGAATACCGTCTTCACAAAGTAGGCTTTCCTTATACCTAATTTCAGGCATGGCTAGGGAAACAGAGGAACCTCCAGAAGAGAGATTTAGTTATTTTAGATGGGATTCTTGACTTCAAGCAATTATTGAGGCAAACGTGAGAGCTTTAAATTTGGCACCCAGAGAAGGTGGTACTGTGAGACAAAACAGTTACTCTCTATCATTGAGAAGTTGTTCAAGTATCCTAATAGTTTGACAACTCTGTACCAGCTGAACATCACTAGAGATAACTTAGTTGGGATGTAATCACCATAAAAGATTCCATTCCTGTGGTTTCTGGGAGTCAGGGAAGTTTAAGCTGAATGTCACTGCATTCAAATATGGGAGGGATTCTTTCAAAAACGAACTTAAATTGAGAGAACCATGGTTCTTCTATGCTATCCAGTAAGGGGCAATAGGAGTTGGAAGTTGAGCATGGGAAATCAAATTCTGTGAGTACAGTTTTGGTGGTAAGATGTGTTTAGCTATAGCAGATCCCCAGCAGCATCAATTCAATAAGGTTAATCTACATGGAAACAGCCATTTGAAGTCAGCAGTGAAAAATTACCACTTGTGAAAATTTTTTGAAAACCAAATGGTCTACCTAGAAATAGAAAAAAATTTCTGAAAGGGGCAAATGAGATCCCATTTCTGAAGCTAACTTGACTGTCGAGTGCAGAAAGAGCACAAGAGGTAGAATTCCCTAGTTTTTTTAACAAATTCCAAACTGATCTTTTAAACCAACTCCCACCACAGAAGGGCTCCCTGACAACAAGGGCGAACGCTGCAAAGGAGAAAACAACTCAAGGGGAAAAAATACTAAAAGATGCCCACACAACCAAGCTGGTAAGACTTTAAAGGCCTCCACTACCAAACAAACCACAAGACTGGTATGAAAATGCGCACGCAGACTCACCCCGTGAGTCTGTGTGAAATGTAAAAGAACCAAAAACATCACAGGACGCAAAGGCAGACACACTCCCCCACACCCCTTGTCTCCCCCCCACGCCCCCCAAAAGCAGGGTGAGCAGTTAAGGCACCTAAAACCCCAAGCGGCCACACACACACCCCAGAAGCAGGGTGAGCAGTTAAGGCACCTAAAACCCCAAGCGGCTTAGGCTTCCCGAAACATTTTACGGTGTAACCAAGAAGCGATTTTGAAAGCATCTGAAAAACGTGCGAACTGTCTGAAAACAGGGCCTGGCAACCCAGACAGTTTGCAAGCATGATTCAGAGGGTCTGCCAAGGAAACAAAAGAAGCCTCCCTCCTCCCGGTGAGACCGCACATGGCACGAGAGGTGCTCCAGGCGGGATGCATTTTAAGCGAGGCGGACAAACAGAAGTCTGCGCGGGCCGAGTGGTACATACTAGGGATCACTGTCTGGCGAGGACGGGGCCATGGAGTTTCCATTGGTTGGGGAGCCGCCCAGCTTCAGTTTCTCCAGATATTCGGCGTGCACGGGCTTGTGGCACTGGAGAACCTTGATGGCATCTTCGACTTTGAACCACTCTCGCTTCCTGCCAATGTTAACCGAATCTTCCCAATCCTCCAGCAGCTCCGTGACAGTCAGTACATACACGTACGTTCTGTGCTTGCGATCCTGGTTCTGTTCGAAGACGCCCAGGAGCCGGCCTAACTTCCCCTTGACTCCCGCCTCTTCGTACACCTCTCGGACCGCCGCACCGCCCGGCTCCTCCTCGGGCTCCATGCCCCCGCCCGGCACGATCCAGCGGTCCGGGTACCGACTGCTACTCACTAACAGCACCTCGTCCTCGCGTTCGCTCCGGAAGCACAGGCACGCCGCCCGCTTCTTGAACCCCTCCGGGTCGTAGGTACGCGTCTGGTTGGGCTTGCACTTCATCCTCGAGGCTGCCTCTTCCAGCCGCTCGCTGCTGTGGGCTGCAGCCGGCGCCGCCGGGGAGCAGCCGGGGTGCTGGGAAGAGAAAGGGCCGAGGCGAGGGGCAGGGAGTGAGAGGCGCCTCAGTCTGCTGCGAGCCGGGAGCGCGCTGAGGGAAGAGATGAGGCTGGGCGGGGCGCGGGCGGAGGTGGGGGCGGCGAGGCGCGTCAGTCAGCCGGTTAGCCAGTACGACGGGCGGTCAGCGGGACCCGGGCCCGCAGGAGTGGAGGAGGCGCCGCTGCCGTGAGCCCGTGAGTCTCCACTGAGCCCACCCACGTCTCGGGGGAGCGTCTCCCTCCCTCTGCTGCCGGGCAAGAGCTGAGCGAGGTGAGACGCAATGGGGACTCATCCACGCCCCTATTCACGTGCGCGTTCGCGCAGTGGAGGGCGATGTGTAGGGGGCGGGGGTCTCCCGATTCCCGCAGCGCGTGATGCCTAAGGCCCACTGCGCAGGCGCCGCGCACCCCTGGGGCCGGGAACCTCCTTAGCTCACAGCGAAATTCACCGCGAAATTCACCTCACGGCATTGTGCCTTTGGCCTACTGCTTCCACGTGTACCTTTGACCCATGCATGACTGTGGCATGGCCGGACATTTCTCCTCTACCTCCCCATAGCGCTACAGGAAACCCACATTCAGTCGTTTTACACACGACAGGGACGAGGGCGTCGTCATCATCATCCCCTCCCACGATGAACCATTCTGGCTTACTCATGGGACCTGGGCCCTGGTGTTGTCAGTACTACCCACGGGATTCTAGGAAGAGTAGCCGTGCATCTTTGCTGAGTCACATGATGCAGTTTTATTTCTTCAACAGGTTCCCACCTTGCCGAGCATCTTGGCGCAGCCAGTAATTTAACGCTTTTCATAAACCCTTGTTCACAACCTTCCTAACCTCTCTGTGCCTCAGTTTCCTCGTGGGTACACTGCTTGCCTCCATGTTGCAGCCATTTGCACTTAGATGCACATACACCTTAAAGAGCAGAGCACCACCAATCTGGTAGAACTGTGTTAAAGCCCGAAGACATTGTCCTGTTCTCCACACACTCCACCCTTGTCTTTCTCTTTGAATAAGCTCCACTTGGAGTTTGGGAAACCATGCACGTGGAGATCCCCTGCTATTTTACACTTTGATTTTTTTTTTTTTTGAGGTGGAGTCTCTCTGTTGCCCAGGCTGAAGCGCAGTGGCTTGGTCTGGGCTCACTGCAACCTCTGCCTCCAGGGTTCAAGCGATTTGTCTGCCTCAGACTCATGAGTAGCTGGGATTACAGGCATGCGCCACCACACCCAGCTAATTTTTGTATTTTCACCATATTGATCAGGCTGGTCTCGAACTCCTGACCTCATGAGCCACCTGCCTCGGCCTCCCAAAGTGCACTATCAACCACCACAAAATAAATAAAATACCATGGGGTCCTAAAGAATATGGCTAGGACTTAGTAATACAAAATGGTTGAACTACTCAGCTTTGAAACATGATTTGAATAAATCACAAGACACTCTAGCCAACCTAGCAGACTGGTGTGGTGTCTGGGGGCAGGAGGTGCCAATCCAGGCTCCAGCCACAGGGCAGGGCTACTTCAAAATTGCCAGGTACTAACTCCTTTGACAAGAAAGGGGTGCCATTTTCTAGTCTGTTCCATCAGCATCAATTCTACATGACACTATGCCTGTGCAATAAGTCTCTTCCAAGGGGAATATTTGTGGCAGGGAAGAAGACTAGGACATTATAACATGGAAAGAGGCACAGACTGAAACCCTACTGGAAAAGTCTGGATATGGAGATCCACAACTTAAAACAGGCTTAATACAAGGGAATTTTTAAATTACTTTTTCCACAAACTTTCACAGCTGACATAGTTTGGATGTTTGTCCTCCCCCAAATCTCACGTTAAATTGTAATCCCCAGTGGTGGAAGTGGGGCCTGGTGGGAGATGTTTGGATCATGAGGGCAGATCCCTCATGGCTTGGTGCTGTCTGTCTGATAGTGAGTGCTCACAAGATATGGTCACTTAAAAGTGCGCGGCACCTTCCCCTGTCTTGCTTCTGCTTTCTCCATGTGATGCACCTGCCCACCCGCCTGCCTTCTGCCACCATTGTAAGCTTCCTGAGGCCACCCTAGAAGCTGAGCAGCTATTAGCACCAAGCTTCCTGTGGAACCTGCAGAACTGCGAGCCAATTAAACCTCTTTTCTTTATAAATTACCCAGTTTCAGCATTTCTTTATAGCAATGCAAGAACGACCTAATAACTTTATTATTCATTTATAATAATATAGTAATAGGGCAAGAGAAGCTATGACTTTTGTAACAAGAGTAAAAATCACTTTTAAGAGAACAGCAGTCCACTCTGTGGTTTTGCATATTTAAGTATTTCTCTAGTGATGAACAGTGTAATTCAGGAATCACTATAGTAATAGACCGTCAGAGTGAAACTGCAGTTTGTTCATGGAAGCCTGTATCTCCTTCCACATTGTCGTCGTCTCTGGGCTTGGCCATGCAATTTGTTTTGTCCAGTGGGACAATAGCAAACATGAACAGAAGCCAGCAGAGAATTGAAAAGTGCTTGCACACTGGGGTGTCACCTCTCTTTTTACTCATGAAACCTTGTGACAGCAATGTGAGGAAGGCTGGCTAGCTGGAAGATGAGCTACCTATGGTGGATTCTTCCCCTTCACTCCAGCTGACAGTGAACCCATTGCCCAACATATGGTCAAGGCTATCCTAGACCATTCGGCCACAAGCAGAACTATTTAGGTCATAACAGTGCACTAGCTGCAGATGTATAACTAAGCCTAGGCTAGCCATGAACAACAAATAAGCCAGGCAGATGAGACCAGCTGAAATTGTTAACCTGCAGAATTGTCAATAAAATTGTTTACTATTGTCTAAAGCATAAAATTTCGGGCACTTTGTTATGCATTGACTACTAGCTGCTCCAACCGTTGACACCATCCATCAAAATCAACCAAAAACAGTCAGAGAAAGAGAAGATTGTTCATTGTAGAAATATCATGTCTACTTAAAGATGCTGGCATTTCACTTTCCCTGTAGTCAGAAAGAAAGGGATGAGGTTAAGACATCTAACATTGTTGCATACAGACCCTGTGAGAGGCTGTGTGTTATGCCCTGCATCCTACTTAACTGCTATCCCATTAACTGTTAGGGAGGGAGGCAGTTCGTAAGTCCATTTTATAAAAGAGAAAATGAGGATTTAGAGTGGAGTTTGTATTTGAGTTTAAGCCTTCATGCCTTCATAGCCTGCACACTCACAAAATCAACGTCTTATGAGAATGGTTGTTTTTATCCACAGGAATGGTTGTTATGGCCTTTGTTGATGACATTCAGTGTTGAATTCTTGGATAAGTTATTAAGTAGGTAAGATTCACTGACTCCAATGAAAGGTATTTTCCATCATAATGTTCTTCTTCTCAACAACATTATGAAAAGAGCATGTGAGTACCTCTCTCATTCCCAGCAAATAGTAGTTGTGTCACCTCCACATGTTAGTTCACAATTTGAGGCTTTGATTTCTCCTGCGAGACAAAATGCAATGAAGTGATACAGAAACAGAGATATTCTATGCTGTCATCACACCAGGTCATGATGTTGATTTATGGATGGTCTGCTTCCTTATATGAGCTTAATATTTTTGTACCAACAAACCTGAAAAGTATCACAATCCCTTTGAACAGATTAGCAGGCTGAGATGGGTTAATGTGAGCAAGCCAGAAAGTAGTGGAGCTGGGATCCACACCCTGGTCTGTCTGAGTCCAAAGGTAATCATCTTGCATTCACCATGGCACGTTTCCCTTATGTTAAGAGTTGCTGACATAGACAGTGCATGTTATTCCTTTTGGTATGGTCTTCCTCCTTTCTAGTTTTATTCTGCCTAGAAGATCCAGGCATCCAAGAGAATAGAGCTTCCATGTAAATTTCAAGAATCCCTAGGATGAAAGCTGAGAGGCTCTACCCTGAAACCAACAAGTCTAGGATACATATATCTGCCCTTTCTTTTTTCTTCAGAATTAGGAAGGGGCAGGTAGATGGGCAATTGACAGGAACAGTAGACGTATCCTCAGGGAAATTGAGTCGGTAACTTAGTGAGAAAGCCATGCCAGCTGGCATTTCTAACTGAGTTTTAGGTGGAGTACAGTCCTAAGAGAGGAGCTCTCCAGAAACTGCTCTTACCTGGTATCTGGAATGTTAAAGACCTTCTCAGAATTTCATGGTACTCACAGCTTGACCCAGCTATCAGGAGAGGAACTGCGACATACCTGAGAAACTTTCAGAATACTTTAGAGAAGCAGAGCCAGAGGAAGTGATTTTGGTAGTAGTCCATGAGAAAAAAAATGGTGTTTTAAAATGCAAATGAACTAAAATTTAAATCCCGCTCTCTCAGTAGCTATGTAGCCTTAGGCGAATTAAGGCAAGTTAATACCTTTGACCTTAATATTTCTCAAGTGTAAAGGGGGAAATAGGACTACCTACTTATAACCTCACCTCTCCCAAGAAAGCTTTCCTGACCTTGTCCTGCCTCATCATTTACATTGGGATTAAGGTAACTCCCTCTGTTTTTCCAGGCTTCCTTGACTTAATTCTGTCATAGCTTTAATTAAGGAGCTCTGTAATGATGTATCAGCAAGCCTGTGAGAAATTTGAGGATTGGGAACCAGCCTGAAACATGTCTGTTCTCTGAGTCAACACAGTGCCTGGGATCTAGTGTCCAGTAGGGATTTAAAATATATTGATTGAATGATAAATGATGACAGAGTGTATGTGGATCACAAAGGATAGTTGTTATTATGCCTGTTAACTGTTAATTAGTGAAATTAAATGAAATACGAATGAACCTAAGGAGAGCAGGGCAAGTTGTGTCTTTCACATCGACCTTCGTATGTTCCCCAATTTTTCTTCCTTCATGTACCTAGGACACTCTTGTTCAAACACAAAGGTGGTTTCATTTTGGGTCTATACTAGCTAATTCCCTAGAAAGGATTTAAATAAAAATGAATGGAATACAAAGTAACCTCCCTCATTGTTTTGTTTGTTTCCTGGACAAATGATAGGCTGCATAAAGAACTGCTACATTTGTGATTTTGTGAGCAATGGCGTAGATGTGCACAGGTCATGGATGTGGCCCCAGTGATCCATGGAATTGTCATGTCCTGGTGAACACTGCCAGTCTCATAAAGATGCAGTGTGCCTTGATTTCTCCCACTTCTATGCTCATTACCTGATCCTACCTCACTGCTGTCACCCTCCTTTTCCCTTTTCTCTACACTGCACACACTTCTGATTCTGAACCCAAACCCTCTCTAGTGCCTCTGGGTTTATGCATCAGAGTTAAATGCTTACAAAACCTATGAGACCCTACAACATCTGGCCCATTTCGTCTTTGACTTTGCCCCTGCTGCTCCCCATGGGCCACACATCTCTAGTGGACCTGGACTTGGCAGCTTCTGGGTTGTGTCAGGCAGGCTCCCTCCCTCCTTAGGGCCTTTGCTCTAGCCATTCCCTCTGTTTGGAATA